CCAACTGACCCATTAGTTCAAAGGACGCTGCTGTAGGTCAAATCTGCAATTGCATCATGGCGGAAAGTGATTTTCATCGAGAGTTTGCGTACGATCCAACAACTTCGTCATTGGAAATAATATGACAATTTTGACTTCGACTGTGTTCCAACAGACTCAAATGTTTTTAATTCCGTAAATTATGGCGGTACGTAATTAATATTGTAATAAAATGTGCGTATTTTTTGTGATCATTTCTGTTTTTTTTTCATTGTGAAAATCAATGACGACGCAACTAATTTAGTAATTTGATTTTCTCTCAAAGACGTAATCTGTCACTTGATGAATCAAAATTTTCATTTGCACTCTTTTTCGAGGGGGGTGCTCGGGTAAGCGCCCACCCCTACAAAATCGTGATTTTCCGAGTTGAGGCCCCTGGGCGCTTTCGCGGTCGAGTACGGAATATCCAAAAAACAGTTTAAACTGGTGTAATATTGAACATTATTATATGAATAGAATACCCCCAGAAATGCCAGGATGTGTGACCTTTAGGGGTCATTCATAATACAATTATATGTTCAAGTATAAATGCTTCATTTCATTATTTTCTCCTAAACTTTCAAAAAGCTTTCAAAAATCTTATTCTAAGCATTATTAGACAGAGGATCGTAGATTCAAACGACTGACTGTTATATATATTCTGTTTAATAATTGTTGACTTTGTTATCGAGTTTATGGTAAAACTACCACTAAAAAGACATACCTTGTTCTTTTGTTTCTGTCCCTTATCTTGTTTACTTCACTAGCACATCTGTGTATGTCTTCGTAAGTTTCAATGTGATGATTTGATTGTAGTTCACTTTTCATATATTTGGTAGTAAAATAAAGTCTGTTCTATCGAACTATCTTTGTTATCTAGTGTATTTTAGAGTCATATGAATAAAATTATTCCATCATGCCCCACCATATTGTGTAGCTGTGACAGCACTCAGTCATGGTGATAATTAGCCACTGTGGTGACTAATTATGTTATTAGGCAAACAAAGTTATCATTAGTCACTCTTGCAATGAGCTGTTATGTTATAACCCAAACAATGTTA